AAGGATTCAGAAGGAACGCTTCGCTAATGAGGTCAGTGACGAACATCTTCGCTTAAAGGCACAGTTCGCGACCGCAAATTGCGGGAAACGGAACTCAAATAGGCACAAAAAAGTGCTAAGTATCTGATTAGCGGAGAAAAGCAGCAGTAAAAGCAGTCCGAAATGTTATAGAGAAAGATAACCACTAGTGGCCTACTAAGCCTAGTAGCTAGCAGCCGGCTAAGGGCGTCGGCATGGGCCTAAGGGGTGTCCATGGGCCTAATTAGCCAGCTTCTAGCGGAGTTCTCTGCCTGTTTTTTCACATTTTGAAAGTAGCGCAGCCTCAAAAATCGCCTTCCGGATCGTCCGACACATTTGAGAGGTCATAGCCTTATTTTATCGCGGAATGTGCCTTTAAAAACTTGTATATAGGGGTAGTTTAACATCCTGATTACGAATATGACATTCACTCTTGTCGCTGGCGCTAATGGATGACACTACGATTACCTCCTGGGCTCAGCCTTAGCAGAGCGCAGATATATACAAGTTCTTTAGCGGATCTGGTGACTTTGGCAATTCAAAAATGAGCTCGGCAACCGAATTATTTCTGGAGTCCAAACGGCATTAGCCATGGATATCCGTATGTATCCTAGTCCCTCGGGACGCTGATGACGCTGATGCTCGCTGGCGTACGCTGGCGGACGCTGATGGACGTTGGTAGACGCGCCGTTCGCTGAATCAATATCTATAGGTTCCCAGTCGCTGACGCTGACGGACGTTCGAAACGCTGACGTCCGCTGATGCTTGCTGGTGCCGGATAGTGTGAACAGCTCAGTGCGGCAAATCGGATGCAACGATGTTCATTATAACTTCAAAAACGTTTCCAGTGAATTAAGGGGTAGACATATGCTGGTGAAACGCAAGGTAGTTTTATGCAGCTTTGTAAACCTAACTTGAGTATTGACGCGAAGGCAGGATCTGTCAATAGCTGACGACCGTAAAGACGGTCACCTGGGCGATAGACCAGAACTTTTCCGAGAAGATCGAGCAGTCCTGGGTCAGCGTCTGGGCATAGCTGGAATATATCCAGTGATTAGCCTGTCAGCCATGACTCTATTGGTTCCTGCGCTAACTTCAAGTGAGTTGAACACTTACCGTACCCAATCCAGTTCCAACCACAACTCGACCGTTATACTGTATTCGTGTAGGAACCTTCATCAGCTTAACGTCTTCTTCAGTTGGACTGCCAAGACATAGGAATATCAATTTCAGCTGGTGTTTATAATGCCGTCCAGGAAAAAGCACGTTACCGCGGAGCATCTCTCCAAGTACGCAACCAGCTGACCATAAATCTGGAACTATTTCCTTGCTGATTGTTGAACTAACAAATCACTACTATGCAGTTCTCAGTAATGTGGTCGATTAGAGTTGGGAAGTGCTTCAGGAAGAGGACGAGTGTTTTTTTTGGAACCTCAAAGCCCACTTGAGGCGAAGGTAGTGCAGTGGCAAGTGGAGCGCCCACAGCGCGCACAGTCCGTCAGCTTCCGCCCAGACCTATCAAGCCTTCGGGAAAAGGTGATAAATTGGTACCAGATTCTTCTGGGAATTTAGGTGACTTGGCTTCCCACACTGGTCGGCTGACCCATGCAAAAGGTTGTACAGGGCCCACCACATTCGAGAAGCTACTACGATTCGGACTGGAAAAAGAATCCGAGCCGTATCCCGAGAAGGGATATCAACGGCGAAGAGTTTAGCCTTCCAACCCCTTATCGTTTCGATAAACTAGATGAATGAAGGGGATTTCTGGATACTGACACAAGGGGAAAAAAGAGCTCCTGAACTGGCAGAGAGAAGTAATGGGTAAGAAAAGACATGAAACGAACCAACAGTCCAGTTATAGTATTCGGACCCCAATAGCAGTTCAGGAGGCCGGTAAAATCTCGTCACCTAGAAAGTTTACACAAATCTTTTCGCTCGACTTGGCTTTGTAGCGCTTTCTATCTGTAATTCCAGGGGTATGTGGCAAGAGAATCGTAATTCGCCGCGCCAGTGGGCGTCGCGTGCGACGTCGCGCCCGCTTATGACGACGATTTTAGGTGGTATTGTCTACAGTACATAGACAGTGTATGAATAAAAATAG